CAGTTTAATCGAGTCTCGTTTAATTATAATGCGCAGATAATATTCGTGTCTTAATTCCTAGATGGGTAATTTTCTAATAAGAGGTCGCGAAAATGCAAAAGAATGATCTCGATAAATTTAAATCGAGTCAAAAATCTTATTTTCGATTCGATGTAACAAAGATTTCATAGATAATTAATTATTTAAAATATATAATATTATAATGAGGATATCACGGAGATCCCCTCCGTCATTTATATATATCCGAAACTTAAAAACATTCATTATTTTTACATCAAATCGTAATTATGTACGACAATAAGTTTCGCGTTCATAGTTTAACGGATTTGCATATAAATATTATAATGCGCGATATTATATATTCAAAAAATTTTCAAAGAAATTATCATCTTAACGATCAAAACGAGATCATGCGAAGAATTTATTGTACTTACTTTGCGGATATCTTCTAAATTGTGAATTTCCGGCGACAGGCCGCCGTGTACGCAGAGGAACTGTTGATTCATGAGGGCGGCGAGCGGCAAACAGTCGAAGGCATCCATGCACGCGTCGTACACCCTCTCGGAGTATTTTATTTTACCTGAAAGAGCAAAGGGGAGATTCAGATTGAAATGATAAAAATATCTTTCCGCATAAAGACAAGGAAGGAATTCACGATTCTATCAACGTTATGACGTTTATGATGGCTTCACGATATGTGTCAGGTCGCTTCCGGTTAATTTTTTACGGAATAAAACAGGCAGGTCGAGACGGATGTGTCTACCGTGCGCGGAGATAAAGGAAATAATCGGCAAAGGAAATAAAGAGAACAAGGAGCGCGAGGCCACGAGGGAGTCATGAGGAAGGATACTGACAAGCGAGTTGGAATACGCATGGTCGGCTACGGCTACCATTTCGCGAACGACCCGTAAAAAGGATGGCAAACACGGGAGCTATTTCACGTCTCTCCCCTGCGCGTCCTCGCAGAATAATGGATATTCTGCGACGACCAAGGATCCGCCGCGCCGCGTCGTCCACGCCTGTTCTGTGTCACGCCAATCTCGCGACCTAAGCACCACCTCGTCTATCGTCGTGTACAAGTGCGACCGACATAGAGAGCTCGCCTGCTTTCGCACGCCAACCCCACCGTATAACTTTATGCGGTTCCTCGGCCACCGTTATCTCATATCTCAAGTAAAACGTACCAGTCCTCGGTAAAGTCCGCGCGCTTACTCTTTTTTTTTCCCCGATATTCCAAGTTCTGATTACTTTTGTAACTGACTTGTACGATTTTGTTTCATAAAAATTAGAGAACCGGAAATTTTAAATTTCATAAGGATTTCGTGAAAAGGTCTGATTTTGCTTCCTCATAGAGGAAGCTTTGTTTTCGTGACAAAATTTTTTTTCGAGTTTTCTATGCCAGTGTGTTTAGAATGTTCCAAAACGTCGGAAAATCATATTCCTAAAAAATGTCTGTATGTATGTATGTATATATGTATGTGTGTATGTGTGTATGATGTATGTACGCAATATATTGTACAACCTCTAACTTCCGCAATTTTTGAGATAT